CGTTGATCTCGATGCTAGACGACCTCCGGCTCATGGGGATGTGGACAGATGTATCCATACTCGTCTCAGTTTCCGAGACCGCGCAAATGTGCCAGCCCCCTACGTCCCCCGACCCAGGTCACAATCTCGAAAAGCCGTAACGACTCGCCCCAAGCGGGCATCTTCCAAGCCTCGCCGGAAGGCGGTTTCGGAAGCGAGTCCAGGTTGGTGCTGGTTCCACCGTGCCTTCGGGGCCGGTGCCCGTCATTGTCGAGCTCCCTGCTCATACAGGACGGGAACTTCCCGAACCGGTGAGTAAATACGGCCGTACTCGCCGGCACTTCACCTCAGGTTGGCCGTTTATTTTATGTGCACGATTATCGCACCAACGCTAGGTACCTTGTGGATACGGGTGCCCAAGTTTCTGTCGTACCTATCGGTAACAGTAAGTCTCAAGCTACGATGCTTCAACTACGCGCTGCGGATGACTCAGTCATTCCAACCTATGGTACACGACAACTTACGGTCAATCTGAGCAAACAGCCTTACGAAGGCCCTTTTCACGTGATTTCCCGTCACGAAAAGACCTTCAAGGTTGATCGACGTGGCCGCATCGAAACAGTCAGCATTGATCGTCTCACGCCAGCACACGTCGATGACAGTGCTATACCTGATAAGCCGAGACCCAATGTTAGACCCATCAGAGCTTCTAGCGGGATCTCCACATCTACTTCGGATCCAACGCTAGATTCACCTGAGACCTCATTCTCACGTCCCAGCCAACAGCACTTGCCATCTGCCCCGTCTACTGACGAGACTTCCGTCTCACGTCCAGACTAGCAGACCACACCGCCCTTGACTGCGGATGAGATTGCAGGCTCACGAGGTTCGAACGAGACTACCGTCTCACGTTCTGGTCGCCGAGTACGCTTACCCGTACGCTTTCTCGACTAACCTCATAACCAACTACGGATACAGTATAGGAATCTACCCCTATACTACAAGAAAGCTACACTTTTCTCTTTTTCTATCATTTTTTTGTGTTTACTCCGAGCCTACGCCTTCGACCATCGCTGTTCCGGTATCGTCGACTTCAGTAAACTTTGGCGAAAGCTGGCCTGATCACCCACGCTCTAGTCAACGCACTCAGTCGACCTCTCTGGCTCCAAATACGTATGGTATACATTTGGTCCCGAACATGGTTATCCTGGTTGCATCTGGTTCCTTGGCTCAATCTGGTTTCGTCCTACGTCTGCAGCGTTTCTGGTCCGGATCCTTACGAACGCAACCTTCAGATTCTGGATACAAACCACTCTGGTGTAGCATGCTAATCCAAGCAATCAATACAGTACATTCCTTCTGGTACCGTTCTACGTCAAAGACTTTTGGTGGCAACTCGAGGACCAACGATCACTTCCTGTTCTGCCAACGCCTTCGTCCTACAATTGCACGTTTCGCGATCAGTCCCACGAATGAAACCGCTACGTATCGAAAGTGTAAACCCTTTCTAGCGGGGGGCTCCTGTAGTGACCGGCCAGTCTCGATAAGAACACGATTGGAATAACAGAAACAATTATTATTATCGTAACCAATTGTACAAGAGATTGTTTTACTGTATTTGTTTAACTGTATCAGTTTTACTTCTGCTTTCGCTCTCCGCCTTGTTTGGTTCGAACTTGCTCACGCACTGCCTTTTCGCCTGTACTCTTTGGCACGTCTCGGTATTATTTCGATACCACGAGATCGCCAATAAATACAATTGATCTGGATTAATAAAGTCTTCTGATTTACGAGCTATCAAAGGAACCAAGTCGTTTTTGGGCGCGTAAACGAATTGTAGTGGTGATCATAGTCCGTCTTCGACTCGACATCCACTACATGTCTGTAAACTATCCCTGTTGCATGTGACTTACCAATTGAAAAACATTATTATCCTATTATATTAGTGTGGCTCATAAATTTTATTCATTTAATAAGACACGCAATACTGGTCGGTATGTTTGTGCGTTTCATTTAATGACTGTAATTCTTTAATTATTGTACTAATCTAATTGTTTTTATGTTCAGAAACAGATAAAGTTTAAAGCCAAGTTGTCCTTGTTCTGACTTTAGCTTTCACATAGACTCTGGGATCGCCAGTATCGCGTTTGCAATTTTAATAGCATATCTGTAGGACAAAAGAAATCCTACAATCAATATTGTTAAACTTTTCGCTACTCACTACAGATGTCGGTGTGATATTGTGACATAAAATCAAGTCGAGAATGTTGCGGTTAAAATCACCACAAGTAATTTTGCAGGTGAAATTAAGGGAGACAGCCGTAGCAAATGGTTATGTTTATTCTACTACTCAAACAGTCAGTTGGTTTATTGATCACGATTGAATTTACTTTTCACTTATTCGGATATTTTTAACAATTTTGGACATTTAACGAATGCTCTTTTTATAAAATCATATGGAAAACTAATAATATCAGTGTATAATTTTCAGTTGTGATGTACGAGGAGGCTGGAAAACTGGAGAAGGCCAAACCAAAATGTGGCACCAGTCAATGAAGTCATTGGCAACTGAGAATAACCAATTATTGGACGTTTTTCTTTAAAAAAAAACAGCTTTATACTTTTTTGTTTGATTCTGTCACATTACTGTTCGGTAGTTATGTTAGTAAACCTAAACGTATTCTATGTTCCACCAATTAGTTATCTGGTTGTTACAACAACTTCAATAAGATATATATAGACAATGATGATAGAATATGGTCTGCTGGAACACCGTTTCATACATAACTCGAGATTTATACTTGTGACCTAAATGCTGTGAATCCTATTCATCTAGGATTACTAGTTTCTCCTTCAGATATCCTCTACCAAGTCTCATAATATTTTACTTGCTGTTGCATTGTGTATATATTTTTCGAAAATACGGTAACAGTTGCCGTGTTATTGAGATTATAAACCAACTTGAGTTAGGCAACTACTGAGAACCTAAAAGCACCGAAAAGCTGTTTTGTTCTGGTGTAGGACACTTCAGCAAGGAGAATTGAAGACCCCGCTGCCTGGAATTGAACTCAGGGTCTTGGGGCCTCGCGACTCGATCTTAACTTAAAGATCATAGGGTCGGCATCCATTGGTTTATACATATAGAATTCCAATAAATATGTGCAACCAACTTCCATTGTATGCGGTGGTTAAATACCTTATACTCGACACAATTGGACTCCATTAGTGACAGATTCTCGCCAGAACTCGGAAAACTCCCTTTCCAAGTTAGTCACATATGTTAACTGGCAGTATAGGGATTTGTGGAGATTGTTGAACGGTATTGGGTAATTAACATTGAGAGAAAATTATCAGCATTTTAGTTAACTTTATAATGATGAACAACCTCATATGATGTGTAACAAATGTGTACACATCAAGTTCACAAATAAACAAATGGTACAAAGTGAATTTCTGAACTAGTTACCAAGAAAATAAAATTTGAATCTCACTGTTTTAAAGTTCGAAATAGTTTTTGAACAAGATACAAACGTCATACAAGTGGTTCTAGGTAAGATTACTTGTCTTTTTGAAATGAAAGTGCATATTACCTGATTTGTTTTCTACAGGGTGGGGCTGCTGACCTCTCGCCCAACCATTCTTTACCTGGTCTTGAGACCGACAGTAACCTTAGAGGACCTGTAGGTGGAGTTTTAATGCGTAAGAATTCGGGCTAATAGTCAGCGACGATAATTCAATTGGAGTCACAATCTTGAACCATCAACTTTACTGGCTTAGACGTGTACTACGAATGTCGTCCAAGTGAACTCCACATTGTGCATTATTTGTTGACGGTCGGACTCGCTGTATAGAGCAAAGATGGTCAGTCTATGACATTGTGTCGTAGTGTGAAGACATCTGTTAGTCCTTCACGGTTCTTTGATTTATGTCCTATAGAAAGTGCAATCTAATGGCTTGAGACCTTAATAAACATGGCCCAGAATAGAAGCCACTGCCAGTCCTGATGTAACTTCATATAAGTGAGAGGAACTTCTTTACTTGAAAGAATCCTTTATAATTGTATTTCTCCTAACTGAAATGCTTCTTCAATTATTACTATTTTTCACCCTCATACAAAAATTCCTATCATCTTTCTCTATTTTTTTCATCATACCTTCCTTTCTCTAACTACACAATCACATTTTCTTATTATGTGGTACATATATTTTGGCGCCACTATCCAAACGTCAGATCTTAATTGATTGGCGAGTAAGTGATCCTAAAAAATAATTTCCTTTATTCACCTACGACATCCAATTGTGCTTACTTTTCCTGTTATTAACCATACGATTTTATTATCATAAAAGAAACCTATTCTTTTAGCTAGTGGTCTATTTTGTAAAATTAGTTCCTTCTTAGTGCCAGACCAAAACATCGCACAAATCCATGAAGTCACTGACAAGTGGACTGAGCCATGTTGGTAGGTGTAGACTACCTGGTTGGGATTCGCGAGATGATAGCAACCGATGGTTAGAGACCTTGAATGACATGGCTCAAAATCGTTTGCAATGGCGAAGGTGCATCTACTCTTTGTGTCCAACCAAATACTAATCTTCTGAATTCCTTATGTCCCTATCCTTTTTCTCTTTTTAAATTTATTTCACTGTGTTAAATTCTTTCAATAACATATTCAAACCCTAATTTTTCACATAATGCTTATGCTCTTACTACTTCTACCACTATGGGATTTGAATCGACAACTGCATCTCTGTGGTAATGTGGTATGACAACTTGAAGTGATGTACGTACGTACGAAGTTCTACATTGTGACTGACTGAGTTCGTTTTTAGTAGTTTGTGTCGAGTCTGATTTCACAAACAGGCTTTCCACTCTAACTGTACTGTATTCATTGAATTTAATCTAGTGTACAGTACTCGTTTATCAAACTTATATGACGACTTCGATAACTATACATATTATAACGTCTGTACACACACACACACTATCAGTCGTACTAATCTCAACAAAATATGAATCATTTTAAAGAAGGCATTAGTGAGATATTATTCACTTATATAAGTATGATGAATAATTACAATTATTTATAATTCATTATGATTTGAATTAAATCACAAATGATAGAATGAAGATAATTTGATAGAAGTTTACAGAAAAAAAACAAGACAACAACGGATGAACTACTAATAGTGAGTGAGTAGTAGTTGAGAATGAAAGACAAATTGAAAATGGTTAATGGTTTATTAGAGCATAACTGAAGATATTGTTTATAAAAGAAATCATTTGTATGTTATATTAGAGGAATGAAGCTTTTCTTTAAAAGAAAAGAACAACACCCGTCTCAATAAAATATCATTCACTTACACAAGTAAATAGTTCTTAGTAATTCCTAGCTGAAAAGAAAAGAAAATCGATTACAATTTAACGTGAGTATACTAATGAGAAGTTTAAGAACAAAGTTATTTAATGTATGCGTAACATGAAGCTGGTTAGTAGCGCAGAGGAAAGTGAAGGATAGCTACACAATTGAGTGAATACTCACCTACTCTTACAGTATAGTTAGCTATTATGATTATCAACCAACTGATGTGAAATAAAATGAATACTTCCTGAATGAAATCCTCGGTGAAACCGTTTCTTTCTCATTCATTAATCAGGATATATTACACATAAAACGAAAATTAATGACTATTTGAACACAAATGCTTTTCACATGGTGTACTTCTTGGATGGTAAGCGTTCGCTATTCAAATGCTTTCACATGGCCAAGCGTACGTCCATACGCACTGCCAAGGAAGTCCTAATCACTGTCTTCCCGCAGCAGAAGTGTTGTCTATGAAATTGAGATGACAAAAAGCCAGTGTTCAGTGGGGGCTTGAACCGGGTTGGTGGGTATGGAGGATCCATCTAGGAGAGTTGGAAAACCTTGATTCCAAACAAATGGTGCACATGGGCTGCAGGATCATGAGGGGATAAGTGGTGTATGAACCTATTCATGATCACCGACTACAAACATGGTAACGCACCTCCCAACCTTGGTCCACTGTATTGTGGATTATATCTCTAGGTCAAAGGCTGGGTTGGTGGTGGCCCACTGAGAAAACCACCTGCCTCGGTTTTGGCATTATCCCAGACCATACACAAATTCAATGATAACTACTTTGCGTGGCGCATATATATTTTGATGCCTTTTGTATCAATGTTAAATTTTTACCGGGAGATTCACTTGTTGACTTAGAATACGCCGACAACATAGTTTTAATCGGTGAAGACGCTGACAACATGCAGTCTTCTGACCACTATAAGCAACTATGCAGGCATGTTCGGAATGCGATTCTCTCCCTCGAAGTGCAAAATGTCAATTCAGGATTGGGTTGCAGCGACACCTGAACTAATGATAAGGAGTGAAGTTGACAGCTTCACTTATCTTGGGAGTCTCATCAGCCCTTGTGGTCTGGTGTGTGACGAAATCTCAGCACGGATACAGAAGGCTCGTCTAGCTTTCGCCATTTATGGCGTAGGCGAGATATCCGTCTAGCAACAAAAGGACGAGTTTACTGTGCAGCAGTTCGTTCCGTCCAACTATATGGCAGTGAAAAATGGCCGATAAGATTAGAGTATATTCGTAGGCTACTAGTGTTCGATCATAGGTGTCTTCGAAGAATTGCTCGTATATCCTGGGACCACCGGGTAAGTAATGCAGTTGTTAGGAAACGAGTACTAGGTAGGGATGGCAAATCGATTGGTGAAGTAGTGAAACTTCATCAGTTGAGATGGCTGGGACACGTGTTATGTATTCCCAACCACTGACTGCCCCAACGTGCAATGTTTCATGATGTAGGAGTAGGTTGGAAGAAAGCTAGGGGAGGCCAGACCAAAACGTGGCACAAATCCATGAAGTCACTGACAAGTGGACTGAGCCATGTTGGTAGGTGTAGACTACCTGGTTGGGATTCGCGAGATGATAGCAATCGATGGTTAGAGACCTTGAATGACATGGCTCAAAATCGTTTGCAATGGCGAAGGTGCATCCACTCTTTGTGTCCAACCAAATACTAATCTTCTGAATTCCTTATGTCCCTATACTTTTTCTCTTTTTAAATTTATTTCACTGTATTAAATTCTTTCAATAACATATTCAAACCCTAATTTTTCACATAATGCTTATGCTCTTACTACTTCTACCACTATGGGATTTGAATCGACAGCAAAAGGCGGCCTGCTTAAACATCTGGGCTACCTGTTTCCCGTCATCTATATATTTCAACAAGTTATCTAATATTGTTTGTTTTAATACATAATTGTGGCTATTAAGCAAACAACCTATTCCGGTACGTTTCTGAAAACTGTACAACCTTTCGCCGTAAAAGTTACAGAAGGCCTAATCAGAGATGTCGTGTTTGCTGGGAACATGCAGCAAAAAGAATATACATTATTCATATGTCGATTGACTGAACTGCTGACATCCAACTGGCGATCACTGAATGTTTATCATCAGGAGCAACAAAGAAATAAGAAACGTAAACATGTTGAAATACTTTATGCTGAGAATTCGATTTTGTACCAAATAATGTAATATTGAATAAAGCTAGTAATAATAATAATAATAATAATAATAATAATAATAATAATAATAATAATAATAATAATCTCTGTGCTAATGTGGTATGACAGCTCGAACTGATGTACTTATGTACGAAGTTCTACGTTGTGACTGACTGATTGAAATAAATAGGAAAATTTAGTCAGATCTGAGAAATATATCATTTCTGTTTAGGGTATCAATGAACGATAAAATAGTATTTATTAATACTAAGTTTCATCATTATCTTATTTAAACAGCATTATTATTTATTGAACAGGTACTTGAAAATGAGTCACACTCTAAGTGTAAAGGTGAACGATATTACAACCGAAGTAGATAGATTTGGTAGTTTATAGTCCAACACCTTAATCACTAAGTGCCCCAAATGCCCTGGTACGGCCGAGAGTGGGGAGAGTCCGCTCTCCCTCTCGAAATGCTCTCACATGGCCACGCGTATATAGCCTCTGCTAGGGAAGTCATACTCACTGCCTTCTCACAGCATTACTGTTGTTTACAAAATTGAGAGGACGAAAGTGAATGTCCGGCGCTTTAACCGTATCGGTGGACACGGAAAGTCCATCTATGGGAGTTGGGAAACCCTGATTCCAAACCAATGGTGCGCATGGGTTCCAGTATCCTGAAGAAATAAATGGTGTATGAATCAATTGTTGGTCACTTGCTACCATGAGAATGCATCTCCTTACGATCCTCCATTACTTTGTGGATCAAATCTTTAGGTCGAAGGCTCGGGGTGTGGCCCCCTAAGGAAACCGCCTGCTTCAGTTTGGGCACCTGAGCAATATCACAGCCCTCACACAAATCAAATGAGATTTGTGTGTCGCATTTGTATTCGGTGCCCCATTGTACCAATATTTATGTGTTAAAATTAAAAAAAATCACTAAGTTACCGCTCTACGACAGTACGATAAAATAAAACTATGAGAATAGTTCAAGTTTATGATAGAGATGAAAACGTACATTACGATCATACATTAAAAACTAATATAATGAAATGTACATTGAAAAAAAAGAACTTACCAGTTTTTATGGAGTTAGATGAAACCTACGGTTGTTGTTGTTGTTGTTGTATTCTCTGAGTTGAGAGGGTGTTGTTTGATTGATCTGTATACATCATAGATTGAGACTCATTCATCGGATAAGTTGGAACTACATTAGAAAAAAAAGATGGATGAAGAGGGGGAAAGGGAACGGAAGAAAACTATTATTTAAAAGTTCTCTTTTCAATTAAGCTGGGACGTAGACGTATACTTTTCATGTATGAGTTATTACATACGAAACCATATATTGAAAAGTGACCTACCTGGTTTCTCACTTTCATCAAGTTTATTTGGTCAGAAGAGTGTTAATTGGGAAAGTTGATAGGAAGAAAATTTTAATCTTATCAAATGATATTAGTCAATATTGTAGAATTAATGATAACAAACATGTCAATTTAATGTGTCTTATTGATTTAAGTCATACAAAAACTGATCTCATTTGAAAACCCTCAAACGAGACTGTTAGAGGAGTCCCGTAAATATCCCTCGTCAGAGTCCCGAGAAGCACCAGGAAGCGTCTGTAAAATGCAGAATCACGTGCCACAGTTTTGACTAGATATTTACCTGTGCTGCCGCTACCATATTTAATATGCTTCCAGACATTCTCAGAAGTCCAAAGTCATGTATAAGTCCATAAATACCTTTGCTTTTTTGTACATAAACCTGACTTTCAAGAAAAGTGTTTTCTCCATAATTTGCTCCTTTTCTATTGTGTTCAAGTTGCTATGTGGTTATAAGAAGTGACTAAAAAATCGAATCTAGTGTTCATTTAGCAGACCTATCAGAGATATATAAACAACTACACAAACTGGAAGAATTTCCAACGAAATTAGAAAACAAGACATTTTTATTGAACTATCCCACTTCTAAAAGTAAAAAAAAAACATGTTTCAAAGCACACACATATACTCTTTATGCCTACCTCCATAATTGTTATTGCCAGATGGATATGATTGCATTTGTTGAGTAACAACATCGGGAGGTACTATTTGATTTGATCCATAAAACTGCTGTACAGGAAATGGTTGAGATGATGCCTGACCACTATGAAGGTTTTGTGGAAGATTACCACCGAAATTTTCTATTTGTGGATTTGCATAAATTCCAGTTGACATAGGATAAGAGTCAGTAGGAGGAAACATCACAGTTCCATTCAAATCTGTTGGCATAGTGAATCCATTCTAAAAAATAATATGTGAAAAATGTTTTATCATTCAACTGAGTTAATCATGGAGGAATTCAACATAGAATAACGTGATTTGAATAAACAGCACAAAATTCTCCTTAAAGATTGAAAAGACGTACAATCATGAAGGTGTTTGCAAAACTATAGAAGAAACACAATGCTGAACAAGATCTGAATGAAGATAACAGTTTATTACATTGAGTGAAGATGATGATTATGACATAACATCAAGGATACTAATGTTAAAAGTGCAGTTTATTGTCAAGTTGTACCCAACCCATCTATCAGACATGGTTGTATTGACTAAATATTCACTCTTCATCAGGTTTTGGAACACAGGCATACTTCCCGACGACCAACTATAGTGGTATTCCTTGACCTTATGGCGGGTTCGACACTGTTAACCGCGAGGTTCCAAGGCACAATTATTAAAAGCCGTACCATAGACGTATCTGAAGCTTGTGAAGAATATCTATTCAGACACTGTTGGTCGAGTCACTCCTTATGGTGAACTAAGACTAGGAAGGTAACCCACAAGAATGTTCACTTATCTACTAATAGTACGTAGATGATATAATTCTATCTGGTAAAAACGCTGGCAAAATGCAGTCTTTTGACCTCAATGAGTAACTATGCTAGCGTGTTTGGGATGCTTTGCTCTTCCTTTAAGTGTAAAATACTCCTTTAGGACTGGTCCACGTCAACGCCTAAACTAATGATCGGGAGTAAAGTATTTGATTATACAGATTACCGCACGTATCTTGGAAGTTTCATCAGAGTCGGTAGGTTTGTGCTTGATTAAATATTGCTACTAAGCTTGTGGCATAGGCAAGATATCTGTATGCTGTTTGGCAGTTCGTTATGTCCTATTATAAAACATTGAAATATGTTTCATGAAAAAAGATGTGCATATCCTAAAGGTTTCTGATCATAATTGTGTTCGGCGTAGTACCCACCTTCCGTAGAATATTAGGTTAGTTAGGCACAAGGTACTTAGCAAAGGTGGAAAACTGGTTGATATAGTTGTAAATTATCTGACCACTGTCTACCTCGATGAGCGATGCTTGCTAGTACAGAAATTAGGTTGGGAGAAAACTAGAGGCGACCAAACCAAAACTCAGTTTCATTCCATGAAGTTTGTGGAAATTGAATTGAGCCATGTAAATAGGTATACACTATCTTGATAGAGTCAATGTAACAACCACGATAACTAGTTGGAGACTTTAGATGACATGGCTTAATCATTCACTATTTATCTTCCTCTAGATCTTGGATTCCAGTATCACTTTGTACATATCTTCTCACTGCTCTTCCGAAGCATATTCTCAAGATTTATTTTTCCTTTTATCACTGCCGTTACATTATTTCGACCACTTTTGTTATTTTCATCTTATCGTGTCAATCAGGTATGGGAACATGAGCCAATGTACATCTGTGTCAGGTCCCATGTTGATAATGTCCATTTGTTCACGCTTGTACACTTCAATAAAGAAGAAATTAATAACAGGAATTTTAAATCATATTTATGGATAGTGGCCAGAGGTAGAATCCAGGACAGGTATTTCATGGAGTACAAAGGTTGAATATTAACAATGGGAAAAACACAAATGTTTACGAATAATAACAATTTCTAAGTGTTATGAAGTCGAAGAAACTAAGTCATGGAATGTTGAAAAAAGTTTACTAAATAACGAACAAAAACCTGAAGATAAGGTAGCTTAACCAATCATTGTTATTAAATTAAAAGAAGGCATGTCATACACAAAAAAGCATATTTTTTGTCATCAACAGACTAAAATCAATCAGCTGGGAAAATCCTTGAAGTGAATAGTTACATAACATAGTAGGTGATCATGAATAGGCTCATACACCATTTATCCCCTCATCATCCTGCAGCCCATGTGCACCATTGGTTTGGAATCAAGGTTTTCCAACTCTACTAGATGAATCCTTCATACCCACCAACCCAGTTCAAACCCCCACTGGACATTGGCTTTTTGTCCTCTCAATTTCATAGACAACACTTTTGCTGCTGGAAGACAGTGAGTAGGACTTTTTTGGCAGTGGGTATGTACGTACGTGTGGCCATATGAAGGAGGACTATTCAAACCATCGGCTCTACCAGAGGATTTGGTAAAGTTGCGACTCCAACCCGTCGATCTTTTTTTCCTCAATGTTTTACTCTCAAATTGAACGAAACCTCAGTGGAATGATTTTGAAGATCACAGACAGATATAGCCAAAAGTAACGTAAATAAATTCCCAATGAAAATAATACAATTTGCAGGTCAACACTCATGACAATAACAAAAAGCAAACAATATAGTGTTATTGTTCAACTGGTTCTATAACACTAAAAATGAACAAGTGGATTATAGACCAAGGTAATCACGTAATAATAATAATAAATTAATAATACATACCATAGGTACTGCCGATGAAGATTTAGTCATTGACGATTCTGGCTGTGTATATGGATATATATTCGGAGTATTTGGTGGTAAGTAAGGGATTGTTGGATTTATTGAGTTGGTCGTGGTGTTAGTAATAGTATTAGACATTCCGTTATAATAAGCATTTGAAGGATTCTGACGTGACATAATATCATGATACAATTGAAATGCATCTAATAAACGTTGATTTAATTCTGTAAGCATAATAATTTCTTTATCAACTAATTTTAATTCAGGATCAACAAGTGGAACCATTGCTACACATTCTGCTTCAAGTTGACTTAATTCTGGTGGATCTTGTTGAAATTCACCAGTAGGATCTACAGTGGTAATTAAACGTAAACATTCATCAATTTTCTTCTCATCAAGTTGGGGGACAATTTTTTTGGAAGGTTGGTTTCTTTTAACATCTGTAATGTGAGAAACTTCGCCTGGACTTGATTTGACATTATTTACTCCATCAAGTTCAATTTCACGTTTGACAAATTGAGCGGGAAATAAACCTTGACCTTTGCTATTGCTTCCAAGCCACCAATTCTCATCGGAATCATCTAAGAGTAGGATAAGCTCTCCAGCTTTGAATGATAATTCATTGTCTTCAGCTGCTTCAAAATCGTACAATGCTCTTACCTGTCCCTTTGAATTGCGAGGAACAGTTGTTTTAGAGCGATTTGATGATGATGTTGACGTTGAATAAGTTGAAAGTGAATTAAATGGAAGTTGAGAGCAAGAAGGATATAAACTAGTCTTCTCATTTGAAGTGGAAACAGACTGTTTGTTTGGATGGGATGACGCTGAATTGTCAGTATCTTTCAGTGATAAAGCAATAGCTGTGAGAGAAATTGAAGGAATAGAGATACGTAAAACTGGGATCAAAAAAAATTAACGACATATCTATTTCTGACAGAAGACAAAATTTCACTGTTTGCAAAACATGTAGTGTACGGCATATAATCAAATTGAACATTAATGTTGATCAATTTTAAATTAACATTCTTTTACAGATCTACTCATGAATGTCCACAGATTATCTACCTGGGGAACCCGCACCATTTTAACCGGAAGCACGTGGATGACACAGTTTTATATGAAGCTAATACAATGTAGTGTTTGGATGCTTAGAATGACAGTGTAAGAATGTTCGGATAGTGTTTATCACTACTGAAATCTAGCCACCAATAAAAGAAAACTTTTCAGTCAGTCTTATGTAATGTAGAACCTGACATAAGTGTGTATTGACTTGGGCTGTTACATCACAATGAAACAGCGAGAGGAAATTATCAAGATAAATCTCAGAGTAGAAGCACTAACAGTATCAGTAGTTGTAAAAAAAAGATTAGATGTAGAAAAAAGCTAAGATATCGGGTTCCAAAGAAATTAGGGAAAGCGAAGAGTAAATGCACCTGCTCTGTTGACGATTTTGAGCTTTTTTGTTCAAAGTCACGTGAACATCAACAGGTAATTTACGCCCAATTAAATGGCTGTGAAAAAATAAGTGGTGAAAGTCGGAATGATGTAAACAAACGAATATTATCAACGTGGAGCCTGACACATGTATGTTAGCTCAAGTTCCCCCATACCCAAGATCAGCGAAATGAAATAGAAACAATAAAAGTGATTGAAATAGTTTAGTAGCAGTGATTAAAAAATACTAGATCTTTGGAATATGGTTTGGAAACACCGGGTAGATAGGTATATGAACGAAAAAACACTGGAATCCAAGGAAGACACTGGAACTCATTTGCTGATTACCATTCACATTTTTATTGCATAAAAATTAATATTAGAAGGGGTTAGTAATTTTAGAAGTTGAGATCATGAGTCAATAGAAGCTAGACCACCACGGAAAACTTGGAAGCACTGGACGGCCGCTTTGTCCTATTGTGGGGCTCAGCAGTGCGCATCCACGACCCCGCCTCGCAACATGCGAACCTAGGATCTATCAGTCTCGTGCGCGAACGCTTAACCTCTAGACCACTGAGCCGGCATCCAACAGTGTTAGTGTCTAACTTCAACGAATCCACGAAATTGAGTGACACATCCACCATTGTCTTCAGTGAGTTATTATCTCACAACAGACCCGGTTGAACTCCACTGGTCACTGCTTCTCCAGGAAATACCTTTTGAGGAGTCCCACAATAGGACGAAACGGCTGTCTAGTGCATAATAAACAGACAAATGTGTTATTGCCTTATACATTAAAATTATTGTAAGCTTTTAATGGATCCATCAACTATCGATGTACATTTTACTATTTTTTAGTTATATTTGTTTAGCGACCAAACATTTTAAGCCCCCAAATGCCCCGGTACGACGGAGAGTGGGAAAAGTCCGCTCTCCCTCTCCAAATACTCTCACATGGCCATGCGTATAAAGTATCTGCCATGGAAGTCCTAATCATTTTCTTCTCGTGGAATTACTGTTGTTTACGAAATTGAGAGGACGAAAAGTCAATGTCCGGCGCTTTAACCGAGTTAGTGGACACGGAAACTCCACCTAGGGGAGTTGGAAAACCCTCATTCCAAACCAATGGTGCACATGGGCTGACTCAAGTATCATGAAGGAACAAATGGCGTATGGACCAATCGTTGGTCAGCGACTACTATGGGACTGCATCTCCTTACGATGCTCCACTGCCTTGTGGATTAGACCTTCAGGTCAAAGGCTCGGGGTGTGGCCCCCTAAGAACACCACCTGCTTCAGTTCAGACACCTGGGCAGTATCACAGCCGTAACACAAATCAAATGAGATTTGTGCGGCGCATATGTATCTGGTGCTTCCTTGTACCAATATTTATGTGTTCAGGTAACATAAAATAAACAACTCTTCATACTTTCACTTTTGACATAGTTATGCTTGTGCTGTAATTTACCATTCATGCTGATGTGCAGATCAAGAAATAATTCTATATATTATCGTAATGAAAGATCAATATAAGATATACAACTGTCTTACGGCATGTTATGTTTAATTATCGAACTGAAAACTGGGCTAGAAGAAGGGTATACGTTCTAAAACCTATATAAGTTAAGACTATCTCATCAATGATCAAAGTTACTCATGATGGACTAGACGTCTATCACTTATCAGTCGATAGATGAACTAGCGTATTTGGACTCGAAAAGAATAAGTCAGAATTTCAATTGATGTACTTTTTCCCAGATTACTGAGCAGCATGACAGTCAGTAACCTAGATGTTTCCTTGCGCTGATAAGTTTTGAACTTTTTTTTAATACATGGACAAAGCTACATAAAGTCTACTATAAATGAGGTGACAATACGTAATAAGGTAGAAATATTCATATAAAGTTCACACTATAAAAGTTATTTACCCTGTGCTAAATCTTCCTCTTCTTTAGCCTGTAATTGTGAGACGTGTTGGCGTGAATGACCATGTTTAACTATCTGTTAAAGTAAAATACTAAGAGATAATTATTATGTCGTGTATTTCTTTTACGAATAAAGTAATCGATATGATGAAGACATGCATTGCAACAACGTAGGTCCTATGTTGTAGCTGACTGACTGACTGCATTGCAACACATAATGGATTCTTTCTGTTACAACGGGACGAATATTGAAAAAAAACATAGGGTTCTTTAAGACTATTTTTCGAATTTTTTATTGCGTGATCAGTTGGTAAACTTATTATCGTATTTCTCGTATTTTAAGCTTTAAGTAGATCTATCAAGTGTCATTATACATTATGTTATTGCTAATTATGTACGTTTTGCTCCGTCCTCTACTACGTTTGGATATAATTGTGATTACTGTGATTTCTTCTTTTGTGTACTATATGGTCAAGCTTTTCAGGTAGATGATTGTATGTTTCGGGTCATAATTGAATTGAATAAAATAAAGAACTAATGTACCTCTTATCCACGTATTATGATTAGCAACTGGCTTGGGATGAGCTCGAGGACCAATAAACATCGAAGTCTCGCTGTTGTTCATTGGTCAATGTCTCAATTGCCGGTTCTATCGGCAATATAATTGAAATAATTGATAGTCTGAATCTTGATTTGGGAATATAGCAAGTGATACCAATTAGTATTAGGAGCCATAACCAATTAGCGGTTACAAGACATAACAGTTTTCGTAACTGGAACTTGAAAAGTGCGATCGATAATATCCAATCATATTATTACTACAAGTCCGTGATATTTTTTGATAGTTACTAACTAACATTAAACACAGATAGTTAGGATACGCGGTCAGGTTGCGCTTTTCTACACTCGTTCATAGCTTGAACGATTAATTACAGAAGTAGGAAAAATGCACAGTTGAGCATCCATAAGATATCTTATACTAGTGATGAAAGTAAAATTGATATAACGCTACATTTACGGTTAAGTACCTCCAAAAACATTTGAATGCCTTCATTATTCAATGATTATGTTACACAAAGAGTGGGCTACTGTGTAGTACATTTAACTTTAGATAGGTATTTGAATATTTTAGGTATGTTAGAAATGGATGGTGTTAGTAAAAGCCTGACCAACTCATGGGTATTCGTTAAGATTCTAGTGAGTAATCTACACTCACTAAATGATTTCATCTACTACTGTTACAATAAATACTGACTTAGGTTAGTCGCGAGACAATATTCTTCAATTTTCAAGATGAAAAATGTATTTTAGACATGTTTATATTTTAATTGAAGGAATTGAAAATTCAGAATTTTATTAAAGCTTACACCTAATAGTAGGTACTTTATGAAATTTTGATAGGTTACAATGGTTTAGTGTTAAAAAGCAGTTCGCAAAAAGTTGAAAGGAGATTGTCATTTGCAGTAGATCAATAAGGAAGGTAAATAGTAACTGACGGTAGGATTCTTTAATCAGTCAGTAAGCGTAAACCCAGGGACAAATGTATGCTAGTTCAAGTTGCCATACCAACTTTAATGAACACAACTTGAGATAACCACTTTCGATAATAATTCAGTATTGAACTTTACAGAAACGTACTTATGATCAGTCTATTGAGTAGGATAAATTAGCAAAACACAAAACAAATAATACCAGTTATAAAATGGTGCATATATATGTATCAGCATGCAGAAATTGTCCGAAAGCAACAAGTTACTTGTTAACATGTAGGAAAAAACACACATAGCAACTGAAATATCACTAAAGTAGCTGTGTATAAGCATAGCTCCCAAATGTCCTGGTACGACCGAGAGTGGGGAGAGTCCGCTCTCCTTCTCCAAATGATCTAACACGGTCACGCATATATAGCCTCTATTAGGAAAGTCCTACTCACTGCTCTCTCGCACTACGGGTGTTTTTTACGAAATTAAGAGGATGAAAAGTCAATGTCCGGCGCTTTAACCAGGTTGGTGGACACGAAAAGTTCACCTAGTGGAGTTGGAAAACCCTCATTCCAAACCAATGGTACACATGGACTGACTGAAGTATCCTAAGGGAACAAATGGCGTATGAATCAATCGTTGGTCACCGGGACTCATCTCCTCACGATGCTCCACTGCTTTGTGGGTCAGACCTTGTTATAAACGTATAACAATCGTTATTGTATACGAAACGTGCAATGATACAGAAAATACGTACGAGCAGTCTGGGGTGCTATTCGGTCCTTTCTATCTGCCTAGCCCAGCCGTTAAGTCCAGAACACAAATAACAGCCTCAGCAATATGAATCATTATTCACAAGCACACTGGGTTATATATACTAACCAAACAGACCCAATTATACCAAAAAATAGAAAAATAACATTTGTACAGTAATTGGCCAATGTGGCTGTAGCTAGGGGGAAAGTAATCAATAATAATAGTTCCAAGGTCAAAATAAAGGTTATGATAAGAGGAACACGGAACGATTAGGTCACTCATTTAACAACTATCCAATAGGAATAGGCGTATTACATTTGTCCATAAATGGACATCAGATTTATGATTCATAATTCGCCAGGGGATACAACAGACCTTCAGGTCAAAGGCTCGGGGTGTGGCCCCCTAAGAACACCACCTGCTTCAGTTTGGACACCCGAGCAGTATCACAGCCCTTATACAAATCAAATGAGATTTGTGAGGCGCATATATATCTGGTGCCTCCTTGTATCAATATTTATATGTTCAAATAAAATAAAAATAAGTATAAGCATAACACTGCAGAGATATACTTCAGAACTAACCTGTCTTTCATCCATTGCTTGTTTTACAAGATCCGGATATTCATTTTTAACCCAACTATAAAAACTAGCTGCTAATCTAAAAAAAATTTTAAACTATCAAAATCTATAACAAGTGATAATACGCTAATTCAGAATCATTTTTAAATTCTTCTGACCATTTTTCAAAGATTTCAGTTAATTTAATACTTGGTATCCGTTGTAAACTCTAGACGAAGAAGTAAAAGAAGTTACTTATTTTGATGACGAAATTAATTACCGAAAAATTCTTTTTGATTAATTGTGTAAAATCTTTTGAAGCTAATTCTCTATTAAATTGTTTACCACAATTTTTACTGCATGCATCTAATAACTGTTTTTTTTGTTTGTTTGTTATTTCAATATTATATTTTTTATTTACTGTGATAGCTCTAATAGAAACATTTGGATTCTTATGAAAAATTCGTTTACATATAGCTTGGATACAAACTGATGGCCTGTGTAATTAGTTAATTTAAATGATAATTTCTTACTCTTGTCTAGCATATTTTTCACATATTTCTAAAATTAAATCCCAATTATCTTGTGTATTTTTTTCTGATGTACATCTCTCTGCGTTAAAGAAAAGAAAAAGACAAGTATCAAAGAAATGTGAGGGGTATTAATTGCAACTAACACTAATCATTGTACAGAAGAACTTATATATGTATTACATTTTTAAAGACAAGGTACAGGATGGTTTTAAGAAGGGTTTCCATGAATGATACTTGTTATATCCTGGTGAAGACATAAGTACAGGTAACTCTCAGGACCTATTAATGCACGACTATTCTATAAATATTCTTATTGTTTAACTATTGAGTAAGTAGCACGTGTATTATCTATATTCATTTTATTATAAGCTTAATTTTGACCTACGGATTATTATTATACGAATTACTGTCCCTAAATTATACTGTTTATTGATTATTGTCTGTCACGTTCACAGCCACATTTGGCTTGATCTTATACACGTTATTTTCTATTTTATGGTGCAATGTGGTCGGGTTGATTGATATACAAACTCAGTATGTTTGAAATACAATGATTCATATAGCAAAAGGAAAAAAATTTATTTGTAACTTGAAATTCTCCAACATTCCCCCCCCCACGAAATAATGTTGGGTCCTCATATCCCCAAGTTATAATTAATATGACTTTGCCTAAAACATATTTCTCATATTGAATGGAGAATCCACTAGAAACGACTAGATGGTGATGAACGACATTTGATTTTAGGTCATCAGAATTTGGCTCTTCTGAAACATTTCCATCAAATTCATTAAGAATTTCACTAGTGGATTGCATTAGATTTCTTATCATTTGATTCATCTGATAGTTTTCGCAGTTTTATAAGAAATCTTATCAAAATTACGTGCATCATTAAGCGAAGCCATATTTAGTGAAACGATATGAGAAATTGGATAAGCTGGTTCATTATAAGCTTATAACTCCCAGTGATTTTGAATTTCATTTGGCACAATGTGGTTTATTGTACTGTTCCAGTTATTTTCTGGATAAGAGCCCCCACAGCTTCCGTGACCAATATTAAGTGAACCATAATTTTGTTCTGGCTGAATTTTATCTACAGAGATAGGCGGAGTCAATGGTGCTTCTTTTGATTCTAGACTCAGGGCTCTATCTGCAGAATCTTTTGTCCCTTTGTCATCTGATATTGTCACAAATTCATGTGCTTTTAGCCAGGTATTGTCTTGCTGTGAGCCGGACAATTTACTCACTTCACATTTTGCTTCAGATATAAAGGGATTTAAATCCTCAACTGGGTATGCTTTTGAAGTAGCCATTACTGAACCATTGTTTGCATCATAAATGGAATCTTTATTTCCTGAAATCTCTGGTGGAAAGTCTGCCCAAAACTGATTCAATCAGTCGTTGTTGGAAGGCTAACATCTGCTGTTGCTGGTGCTATCATATTAACTGCAACTGTTGTAAAGAAATCGCCGTTTTTTTAACTAGTATCCGCTAGCAAAATTCTTAATAAATTTGATGGAAATGTTTCAGAAGAGCCAAATTCTGATGACCTAAAATCAAATGTCGTTCATCACCATCTATTCATTTCTAGTGGATATGTTTTAGACAAAGTCATATTAATTATGACTTGGAGATATGAGGCGCATAAACACTAGTACAAGGGGATGCCAAATATATATGCACCACATATCGTCATTTGATTTCTATGAGGGCTGGGGTACTGCCCAAATACCAGTACCGAGGGAGATGGTTTTCTCAGGGAGCCACCACCAACCTAGCCTTTGGCTCAAAGATAGGATCTAGAAGACAGTGGACCAACGTTAGGTGCGGTACCATGGTAGTATTTGGTGATCAAGAATAGGTTCATACACCATTTGTCCCCTTATGATCCTGGAGCCCATGTGCACCTTGGTTTGAAATCAAGGTTTTCCAACTCTCCTAGATAGATCCTTCATACCCACCAACCCGGTTCAAGCCCCCACTGGACATTGGCTTTTTGTCCTCTCAATTCCATAGACAACACTTCTGCTGTGGGAAGACAGTGAGTATGTACGCACGCGTGGCCATATGAGAGCGGACTCTTCACACCATAGGTCGTACCAGGGTATTTGGGGAGAGAAGTATGATAAAGGAAATTCAAAGACTAGGAAGATTTAAAGTCACCCGGCTGAAACAGGTTCAACTAACTCAAAAATATTGTCAGGAAGTATGATGTACACTGATGACAGGCGAGCCTCCAAGGACCCTTAGGGGTTTGGAAACATTCATAGGACAGTTGTTCTGAAACTACTTCGTGGATCCCACTACAAGGGGTTAAACTAACGATGGTGTATGACCGTTTAAAAGTTTTCGCGACCGTACTAAGGATCCTAAGGAAGCGTACAGGGAAGCCATATGAACGAGTCTCTGTTCAGAATGTTTCTTTGGTTTTAAAACAGATCCTATTAGGATTTAGGTTAATATATTCTAAAACATAAGCAGACTTGCCAATACTCCACACCATGTCCTGAAGTTTTACAGGTAAAGGTGAACTATATACTCGGACAACCCGAAGACTTCAAAACGTTCTAACCAATGAGACGGAATGAAAATAAGTGATTTACAGTATAGAACAAAAGTCTTTGGAGAGGATACGTTAATTTAACACTATCGACAAACCTTTATAAGTCTAGAACATTTTGCCGTACTTTATTTATTTGGGCACAAATATTGATACAAAGGGGCACCGAATACATATGCGCCACACAAGTCACTTGATTTATATGTACGAGTTTTATCCACTTTCCTGACACCTCCAAATGTCACAGGTTCACGTAGTTTCCTCAAACAAATACCCGTACGATATTCGTACCGTCTTGCGACCACAGCCGCAAATTAGTGCACTTCCTAATAATACACTGCCTTACAAATAATTTGGGGTAAGAATATTTTCGTCACTAGCAGACAACTGGCTTTTTGGTTTGCCATGACTTTAGAACGATCTCACATTTATTATAGGGTCGGTCGTATAGCTCAGTCTTAATGGTATTTCCTGCGGGTGATATCACCAATTACTTTAGCATAAAGTTATGGTACAGAAAGATCAGTATATTGAGTTTTTACACTAACTGGCTATTTGCATAGATTAACTCGATGGTTAGGAAGTTCCAAGCTTACGAAGAGTAAAGGTATATAAGTCCAGATTAGTGTAATGTAGGATTAAATAGTGATCTTAATTTGATTTCTCGGCATGTGAATACAATAATAATCATATATGATCATTATGTGAATATATTCACAGAGCAGACCAACTAAACGTGCCACTCATAGATATATGTCGCTAGACAAATAAAAGGCATACACATATAGAGAGCAGGCATCAATAACCCCAGGTGATGTACTAAGTAAACCCCGATAAATGCAAACAAACCAATTAACGCCTTCATTCCCAACTACCGAATACCGCGGCAAAATACTTCCTCTAAACTTAAGTTTCACAGCTACAATATTCACTATACAATATTATAATCTGCGTCCTCTCAACAACATGTCCGAAAGAAATAGAAGACACCGTGTCCTTGGCTTGAGAAGCTACAAAAGTATGCTATTTAAAGATAAATCATGATTCTACGGAAATCATCAGCAAACGATTGTAAGTTTTTGAAAGTAAGCTGGAAGGCCTGGGCTAGTGTTAGCAAACGTATCTCTTGGCTGATCTAACCTTCCTTTGAGTTCGTATGAGGAGACATATGTATTCTCGCATTAAGTCAACGAGTATCACTTCTTAACCGTTCTATGAAGAAGCCAGTTGATAAGCAGACGTTATAGGAGGCATTAATTGGTACTTTTCATCATATACCAGATTATTGTGACAATTTATTTGATTACTTCTAAAACCACTTACTGCCACATTTTTATCACTTCTAATATCTGTCATGACTTATGCTTCTATCAATTATCATGTGACAAAGTTGCTAGTCAGAATACCGACTTCTGTGACCCTGTCCCTGGGCTAGAGCAATAATGCGTTAGCCAGCGCGAGAAGCACTGGGTCAACTCTTAATCCTTATTAGTTCCCTATACAGCATCTTCTCGCCTAGCTCAGTCCGTTCAGCCCAGAACAAAAATGTCAGCTTCTGTTTTATGAATCGTATATTTCAGAAACAAACAGAGCAGACCACGTAACTTAATAACTTACTTGTGCCTGTTACCCCTGTCGGAGGAGAATAGGCCGTCCACCACGACTCACTATCGAACTTTGTGTTGGGCAACCTCTTCCGGCCTTTTTCAATTGCCGTTCATTCTTCCGATGTCTGCTTCCAAACCCCGACGTAATGTATACTTTGGTCTTCCTCTTACCATTTTTGCTCCAGGATTCCAAATGAGAGCATACCTCGTGATGCAGTTTTATTGATTTCCTCAATGTGTGTCCCATTCGCTTCCAATGATTTTTCCTAATTTCCTCCTCAACTGGAAGCTGGTTTATTCTCCCCATAATGCGCTGTTGCTCATGGTATCTCGTCAACGGACATCAAGTACCTTGGGCAAACAATTGTTTACAAATCTTCCTACTACCTTTGATGGTGATTGTAGTAGTTCTCCAAATTTCAGCTCCGTACAATATAACTGACTGTCTTGAAGTTCGTACTGAAGATTCTGAATTTTGTATTGGTAGACAGACAGTTGTTTCGAGTTCCACATGTCCTTTAACTGTAGGAATGCAGTTGTTGCTATGTCAATGCTTGCCTTTACATCTGCATCAAATCCACCTCGTTCATCGATGATGCTATCCAGGTAAGTGAAAGATACTACATCTACCACAGTTTCTCCACCCGTTGTGACTTGGTTGGTGTTCTCTGTGTTGCATTTGAGGATCTTGCTTTCTCCTCTGTGTATGTTAAGGCCTACTGATGCAGAGACTGCTGCTACACTGTTTGTCTTGACCTGCATTTGTTGATGTGTATGGGACAGATTGGCCAGGCCATCTGAGAAGTCCAAATCGTTTAACCACACCCAACCTATCTATTGTATTCAATGCTTCCTGTCAGATGTGGAGGTTATTATAATCCAGTCGACCACCAGAAGAAGAATAGAGGTGGAGAATCAGTAATCTTGCCTGACTCCAGTCCTCACTTGGAATGCATTTGTTAGCTGCACCACTTCACACTCCATTCCGTCGTATGAATTCCATATCGTATTGGCGATTTTCTCATGTATACCATGGTGTCGAGGAAGTTTCGATAAAGTCTTCCTGCCTACATTGTCAAATGCTTTCCCATAGTCGAGTAAGTTGATGCATAGTGACGAGTTTCATTCAGTTTGTTGTTCAAAGATTATCCGTAGTGTCGCGGTTTGGTCTGTGCACGACCGACCCTTACGGAACCCGGTCTGCTGATCTCAAAGCTGAGCGCTTGTCAGCATTTGGTCTTCAAAATCTCTGTGAATAGATTGTGAAGCACGTTTACAGTAGCTTCTGCATCGGACATCAGTGCTTCAGTTGTTATATTGTCAAGTCCTGTTGATTTCTCACTTTCGATTCGTCTGATGTCTATCCCCATTTCTTAGACTGTTGGTGGACTGAAATTTATAGAAAGGTCTGCGGGTGCTTCTTCGATGTCCGTTGGATTTAATGGATTTGGTCTATTCAGTAGTTTCTCAAAGTGTTCTACATACCTGGTCCATTGTTCTTGGATCTCAGTGATTGTATCGCCTTACTTGTTCTTGACCGGTTTCTCTGGTTTACGATATTTCTATGCTAGTTTCTTTGTTATATCATATAGTCTCATATTTTTTTCTCCTGCAGATTTTTCACTGTCGTTGCTTGATCTTCCACATATTTCTGCTTGTCTCGTCTAATGCTCTTCTTCACTTGTTTGTTTGCTTCTGTTTCCAGGGAGATGCATTCCTTATGATGATGCTTCTCGTGGCTAAGCGCCTCCTGACACGTTGAAGTTAAGGCTTCTTTGATCCTCTTCCAGTTGTCTTCCATAGTAGTTTCCCCTTATTTGAGGAGGTCTTATAAGGCTTGGAACCCGTTGTTGAGAGCTTTCTCGAATTCGTCTAGTTTGACTGTATCTCTAAGGAAGGCTGTACTGGACATTTGTAGTGCTGTTTCCCCAGTTGTCCAGTGCTTCCTTAGCTTCAGTTTCATCTTGGCAACCACTGGCTATTGGTGATCCGAAGCTATGTCGGCTCCTCTCCGGGTTCTCACATCTTCCGTTGTCCTTCGGAATTTTTTAGTGATACAAATATGATCAATCTGATTCTCCGTGGTGCGATCCGGTGAGACCTATGTAGCTTTGTGCATTTATTTGTGCCGCTTATAACCGTTTTGTTGAATCCACATGAGTTTGCTGATTTCTCACCATTCTCGTTGCTTTCTCTGAACCAATCCATGTAGTTCCATGATATATCTTCATATCCGTCCTTGGTATTTAGGTTGCCCATCGGAGTGGTCAGGTTCTTTCCTGAGCACTTCGTTGTGATCGATTTTGGCTTCTCGTAAAGCTGTGTGTCCGCAAGGTTGTGTTTTACAGAATGAGGTTCCTGACCTCATACCCAACCTTCCTCCTTTATCCAGGCTTGTGGTCGGCAGTGATCCAAAAAGAGCCACAGATGGAGTTGAACCCCATCACACCACGAAATAAAAACTAATAGTTGTACGAGATCAAGCCGAAAGTGGCTATGATTACGGAAGACTTTACTCAACAGATTGGGTGTAAATTGGGGGTAGTAAATCATATAGCAGCACCCACTTGTTCAAATGAAAGCCATGGATATTCAGAGTTTGACGACGCCTTTACAATCGAATTATACCGACCCAGTAAAATTGGATGTCAGAAGTGAAGGGGTTGGAGGGTATATTTGGAAAGCTGTCGATATTTCGCGAAGCGCTTGGTCTAGGTTGGCTATCAGTTACAAGGGATTAGTAGCACGGTGTACCCACTCGTGATCTGGTACGGATGCATGACCGAGCGCCTTCAGCCAGGTGTGTTCAGTAAAACTAGTGAGGTCAACACCAATGCCAAAGACTTACAGGGCTATTTATTTTGGGTATTTATTTACTGCTACACGTTTTTGACTAAACTTTAGAGACGATGCACTTTAATCGTGTTTGTTGCTATTCACGTTCACCATCGATTAACAGAAAGCTAACAGATCAAAACATATTAGCAAACACGTTTGCGCTAATTAATCACTGAAACTTTCGCCCACTCGAATTTCCAGTTCGGGAATTTATGACCTTTTCAATAGAGGGTCTTGAGAAAGTCTGTTAAACACATATAATCTGAGGATTCACTTTATTCTAATAAAAACAAGGCGATATAGTCACAAAGTTTTAATAATGTTGATTCATATTAGAAACAATAAAAAACCAGTGACTCAGCGAATCATTACTAAGTGTTTTATCAATCAATTCTTCCATGAATTCCACAAGTAACAAGATAAAAATGGAGCAAACGGCTATCAATTTCACTGTAAACTTTTGACATTTTGTTGTCGTTGATCTGTGGTGGCAAGTAAATGTTCAAAATAGATACTTTTGTAAACCTTCGATAATTGAACACACAACTGAGAACAATTTGCCTGGAGAATTGAACCAACTCACTCAGTAGTCACACGACCAATCAGACATTGTATTCCAAAATGAGTAGACAGTTATATTTGTCCAACATGTCTGTAATAAATACAATGGTTACTTTTTATTAGGGAGTCGGGTGCTAACAGACAACGAATAGTCATTTCAAACACAGTCTTTTGTGAAAATGGTGAAAAGGTGTGTAGGAGACGTACTCTGATAACCATTGATGGACCAGAGTACAATGACAGCAAAAGAGCATCCACACACTTCAGTGTAATGTACTGTGATTTAAATAATTATCATCTAGTACAAATTTCACTTGTTTATGTAGCGAATATCATAGTAATCTGCGATAAATTCAAGCCGTCATGTATGTCCATATATGTTTCTATTTGAACCATCCTGATTTTTCTACTGCTATTCATTATCAGTTTATGTCACCTCAGAGTATTTGTTGTACTTCATGTAATATTTGACTGGAATCAGAATGCCAGTTCATAAACGTAGTTAAGCTCTCTTGTGGAAGAAGTAGACATCATTGAAGCCATGTAATCTAAACCTTTAGAATTTAATTGGAGTGGTTCAGATTTTTTCGGTTTGCTGAGCTAGAAGATTATTTTTGTTTATCTCAAACAAAATAAGAGGTGTTTCTGTTAATTCCGGGCAAAGAATTACTGAATGGTAACTGACACGATCTATTTAGGGACTGTTATTACGTATATTCTTATTGTATAACTATTAAGTGACTATATTATATATTCATATTCCCATTACAATAAGCTTCCATTACACCTATTGACTACTACTACACGATTTACCATTCTTAAGTTATTCCCGACTTATTAGATACAGTATCTCACACTCACAGCCTTTTTTGGCTTGATCTTGTATTATTAATATT